TGGTATTGTTGACCTGCTCACTTATTGGTATAAGAGACAGATCAATAATGTAAAATGGTGTGACTCTCTGTCCAATGAATACTCGCTGACTTGTGGAGTAAGGCAGGGGGGGGGCTTACCTCACCCGACTTCTTTAACATCTATGTGAATGACTTGATCGTGGAGCTGAGCAGAACCCCAGTCGGACTTAGGCTTGGCAACCGTTATGTTAACAACCTAAGTTACGCTGACGATATGGTTCTGCTCAGCCCTACAATCAAAGGTATGCGGAAATTAATATCCATATGCGAAAAATTTGCTAAAGATCATAGTTTAATTTATACGCAAAAAAATGCCCAGCTAATGTACCTGAGGTGCACGTGGCAGGTCAACCGGTTAAAATAGTTCATACGTTACCTCGGTCACATAGTGACAACGAACAAAAAATATGATTGCGATATAGAACGACAGAGAAGAGCTTTGTCTGTCTGTGGCAATATGATTGCTAGGAGGTTTGTTAAAGCCTCCAAGGAGGTTAAGATTATGCTCTTCCAAACGTACTGTCAGTCTTTCTACACCTGCCAGCTCTGGACTGAATATGCGGAGCGATCTTTGAATGGTATTCGCGTGCAATATAATAACATATTTAGAATGCTTATGGGTTTCAAACGCTATTGCAGTGCTTCAGGCATGTTTGCAATATAATAACATCTTTAGAATGCTTATGGGTCTCAAACGCTATTGCAGTGCTTCAGGCATGTTTGCCGAAGCACGAATTAATACGTTTAATGCCATTCAAAGATTCAGAATCGCATCATTCAAGTCCAGGGTTGGTGAGTGTAGAAACAGGATAATTAGTGAGTTTGCGGAAAGACTGCCGGCCACAGCCTTTTATCAAAAATGGCTTAAGATAGCTGCTTGACGTGATGGTTCCCTCCATTTAGACTTAGATATTATTATAATATTATTATTTTTAATTTTTAGTAATTCTGTACTGCATTGTCTTTTTTTTTGTTGGTATTTTATATGGGTGATATGTGCCTGAAATAAAGATAATTTATTTATTTATTTATTTACCTATTTATTTATTTATAAAAAATATGGATCAAATCATCATCACCTTATCACCATGTGGGATTGTTCGTTGTTCTTAATTCTATAAAAAAATTAATCAATAGAATACGAGTTAAGTAAATTACGATTCGTAGTATAGTGTTTGATAAATAACCCTGCATATCTTCTGCGTGAAAAGTTCCCCGAAGAGTTTGCTGAATTTCGATTGTGAAGGTTTTCAAAATATACAAAGTTACGGCGACATGTTTTATGATATGTTTTTTGTTAACGTCAATTCTTTTTTATCAAAAGATGGTAACATTTACGTTATCGTATTTATCTTTATATCTTTATCATATTTTGATTTTCAACAGTGGTTCTCAAAAAGGAATGCCACATCGAAAGACCAAAATATCTGGAGGAAATGTTACGAGCTTGAGGTTCGTGACAATAAAAATTGCCGATAAAATTACCTAAATTAACACTTTAATTTACTTTACACAAATTAAAACTAAAAACACTAATAATTAAACACATTAATTCACTTAATTCCGCTCCGAAGCTTCGCTTGTGTCGCCGAGTTCAACTCTGCTCGCTCGCATCTTGCAGCGCCTAGTTATATAAATTAGCAAACATCCAGAATGTTCAAGTAAACACGCGCAAGGTAACGAGAGTTCGAGTTTTAAACTTCAAGAAGTTTAGTTCTTCGGTTCGAGACTAGATGGCGCTAGTGCGCCGTTTTGAGCGCGGCGTAACAGAAATATGAAAATGACGAGATTATGGGGTTGTGGTCGAGAGAAATAAATTTTAAAAAGTGTAAAATAAAAAGTTTATTTTTTTAAATTATTGACTACAAAAATAGTTAACGCTGCTGACAATAACTAATTTAAGTAGGTACACCTAATTTTTATGTTTCCACTTGTATTTGGTATTGGAATTTACTGAGCCCGCCAATTTGGAACCTTTACAAGTGTTCAGAAAAGATTTAAAATTCAAACAATTTACTTCAAAAACAGTCTAATTATTAACTCATCTTTTATATAATCAAAGGCAGCTATGAAGGGAAGCGAAACTGTTTGTCAGGAGATTTTAAGTTTTGTCGGGAGTCCGGAGATCATTTAAAATTTCGGTAGAATCCAGACGAATCCCGCACATCTGGCAACCGCTATTCTCGAGTGGCAGGTGGCAGCCTCGTACCGGTAAATGAAGTACAGTGTACTAGAAGGAGTAACGACTTGGTAAAACATGAAGGAAGTTGATGGATTAAAGTGGCTTATGACCGTATTAAGTGAAATTCTTAGTGGGAATGACATTCCTATGTTCAGCATAGGATATCTTAAAGGTTGTAATGCGGATCAAAGATGGTCGCTATATAACATTTTAACTAAAACTTTCCTTATTCTTTTATAATTTATTTTTATGTTATTCAGTTTACGATTATTTAAAGCTTCCCCTCTGTGAACAACAAAGTTCTGATTAAAGTACTATTTTAGCAGTTACTTTAGGTGTATTTTTGACCAAGTTCCAAAAAGGATAAGGTTCCAAAAAGGATACGATTTCTCGGAAATAGCTGATCCGATTTTTGATAATTATTATTTTAATAAATAGATTAAACATCTTTCCCATATACATTTAAAGAAGATTTTTTATTCATAATTTCGTATAACCTTAAAAATCCTATTAGTAAAACCAAATTCAAAGAATTATTCCCACATAACAGCATCTGATATCGGGGCTTTAATCCATCAATGCACTCTGCCTTAGCACCGCGACTTCAGAATCAATTAAATGGAAATTATTTTATGCTTTTTTATTTCAAAGTCGGTTTTACTTTTAAATATTTAATTATTTAACTCCGTTATATAGTTACAAATTAATTCCTCCTTAACCGCATCTAAACTTATTTATCACTTAAACAGATTTTTTTAATCAATATGGATTATAAATAATACTTATTGAAAGTCACTTATTTCATTCACCACTGGTTCTCAAAAAAAACCTCTATCCTGGGAAGAATCAGGAAGGAGCCGATCGGGACTATTTTTCTCTAAATAAGAGCTTACAATCATGTACGTTACAATTAACAACACAAAACAAATTAGAAATAGCTTGGTAGCGATCACCCTTTCCAGGGATTATTATCATCCATAATAAATAAACGTATTTAGGTACAGTTATTTTTACACACATTTATTTACAATTTTTATTTAATTATTTTGCTACTGAATTATGTCAACACTCACAAATTAATACGCAACGAAAATAAGCAAAATAAATAATTTTCTTCGAAATAACTTACTTAGAGTTTTCTTCAAATTGGTCATCTAAGTTTAGGATCAAGGTTTTATATTGGACTGTGGACCAGGATATCAAGGCAATGTGACGCGTTTCGGCGCTTAGGGAACAGGGGAGTCTAACTCGGACTTGATATAACGAAAACAGAGTCAGTACTAGGAATTTATAAACTATTAAGATGTGGCAATAATAAATGTAATGTTTTATGTTGTACTCTGGGTTATTATTGTTAAGAAATAATTACATATAGGACACACACGGTTTTAGGAGACGTACGTAAGGTACGTGGGAGTAATATGGTCACCTTAGGCTTTGCCGACCTATAAAACTTAAGCTATGAGGAAGACAGAGACAAAAACATAAAGTCGTATACTATAACCAATATATTTAAAAAAATTGCGAGCAAGATTTGGCAATAGTGAGAAACACTTCGGAAAATCAACTTAAAAAACTAACTAAGGTACTGGCACCCATTAAGGCCCACTTAATTTCAAAACCTTGTGAAATTGACAATGAAGATATAAAGAGAAAAAACTTCATTAGAATAGTAAGTTTTTTTATTGAAAAATACAAAATTCAAAAATTTGCGTTGTTATTTTGCATGTTGATAGAAAGAAAGACTATTTTTAAAACGTGAGTAGTGGGCCATCTTAGGAAGGTGGTCACCGAATAAGGCCCGTAATATATTAATGTAAATCTACGCTTAACCTATATTTAAATAAATTTTCCTTCCAATACTGGTCTGGATATACAGGTTTCAATTAAAATTAATCAACAAAGTCTAATACATTATCCAAAATTTGGCTATGGGCCATCTTAAATCTATCGAAACTTAAAATTGTAATAAAACGAAAATTTCTTTCTAAATTGAAGTTTATTACACATGCAGAGATTTAGTATAATAGTTGGTAACCAAATAATAAGCAATAAGTTCTTTATTCTGTGATCGATTTTTGAGCAAACTTTTACCTGGGCCTTGTTAGGGGTATTGAAAATCAACTTGAATTTACTTTGTTTATGGATAACCTAATGGGACACTCTTGCCTTTATTAAACACTTAAATAAACAAAATTAATATTAATAAAAAATATAAAAAAAAGAAATATTTCTTTATCAAAACATCAAACGAAACTCTAGAAAAATCAACAAACAAGTTTAGGATCTTATGATATCTTTTTTAATCAATTTTGAATTCAATTTTGGATGCATAGTGAGATGTTTAGTTACACTCCGGACACACGAATTGTTTATCTTCTAAAGTTAATCCGACACATTCCTCATGATACCACTTTTTACATTCTTGACATTGGCGCATAGTAGCTACTTTGTCTATCTCACATCCATGACAATACCAACCGACATTGTCAGGTGATTTGGAGATCTTCTTACCATTTTTTTCAACATTCTTACCCTTCATCTGTGGTTTTGTCTTAGTTATCCTTCCAGATACTTTAGCATTTTTTCTATTTTGATTACAATTTTTACCTCTATCCGTGCAACTCAGTCGTCCTCCATCTTTTTTTTGTTTATTCTTAAGTTGTTTTTTAGTGTTTTTCTTTGTCTTCTCTTAAGCAATATCAAATAAATCTTTAGTAATTTTCTGACCTATATAATTAAGCGCCTTTCGTCTAGGTTTATCTTTGATTTTTCCAAAATTTGGTGTTGGAATTTGCTTATGGAACGTGATGAGGGGAGTTCTTTAATTTTAATAGCGGTAAATTATCTTCCGAATCCTCAGATTGAATCTGCATTTGCTCAGAGATTGGTAAAAGTTCTGTGAAGTTTGGGTTTAAATTTTCTTCGTTTGAATCGGAAGATGAAGTGTAAATATCAATGAGTTTTGAGGGATATTGAAAATTCTTTAAAAAAGTAGTAATGCCTTCTTCTTCAGAACTATCAGATGTAATAGAATTCAACCTCGGACGAGGCTGTATATTACTAGTTCCGGAAGTAGTTGGAACTGGTGAAGAATATCTAAAATTTATGTTTAGAAAAGGTTGCATTTGAAGTTGTTCTTGCAAGTCCATATTGGATTCTAAAGAAGAACTGTAATCAACTAGCTTTGTAATATGATTTGAAGATTGCGGATTTTGTACATTTCTTTGTTCTATGACGCCTGTCCATTCATTAGCAGCATTTTCAGTTAGAATCGATGGTGATAAATTTTTAAGATTTTCTTCACAATCAGTGACATCTGTATCAGACATATTATCACGTCTTGGGGATAAAAGAGAACTTCGAATAATAGAAGTCCGTGATGCTGACATAATATCAGATGTGGAATCATTTATACTTGAAACATTTTGTTCTATATCACGTGGATTGGGCAATTGCGTTAGCGCTGAAGGCGCATACGCTTCCTCAGGAATTGCATTTGGATCATACGGAAAAAGCCCGGTCGCACGGAACCCATTAATTATATTTTCTTTGGTTGTACACTTGGACCAAACCTTCGTAAAAATTTTGCTAAAACGCGTTTTCGTAAGTTTTCTACCTGGATGCTGATATGCATACAGTAAAACTTCTTCGTCCCAGAAATGTTCGTAAGATTTATTAACTGATTTATCAAGGGGTTGTAGTTCATGTGTAGTATTGGATGGTAAACAATAAAGCACAATGTCATGAGCATCAGCAGCATCTACGATTCGAGCATCCAAATGGGAAGAGGCCCCGTCAAAAATTAACAAACATTTTCCCTGAGATTTAAATTGACCCAGGTGGTTAATAAATTCAACAAATAGTTCGGTCGTCATGCTTCCCTTCGTGCCCATCTTTACTAAAGTTCCGGGAGGCATATTATCGCAAAACTCTGGTCGCAATCTTTTGCCTTTAAAAATAACCATTGGTGGTACACTATTTCCTGCTGCATTCACGCACATAGCAATTGTTACATTTTCTGCGTGTTCTTGGGCAACGAAGTGTACCCGTTTGGTCCCTTTGGCAGCAAATACTTTGTGTTGGTGGTGGATTGTTAATCTGCACCCCTTTTCGTCCATATTATAAAGACGCTCCGGATGATTACAAATATTCAGATCTTCATAAATGGTTTTAATGGCATTAAAATGTTGTTGCACAATATACTTATTAAGTTTCTGTGCTCTTGCCGGATTCATTAGTTGAGCCCTGCGAAGCGAAATTTCTGGATTTCGTTTGACAAAATTTTTCAGCCATTTTTTTCCAGCTATATTTTTATTATCATTAAAAGAATTTGGTATACTATTTGCCTTACAAAATTCATAAGCTTGTTTACGAACTATTTTGGAAGTCAAAGGTAGACCGACCTGAGCAAGTCTAATCACCCTTTTACACAAATCTTTTTCTTGTGTTTTATTAAGAACTGGAGTGCGACCAATTATCTTTTTTGTAGATCCAGATTTAATATGATTTCGTAATGTACGCCTTGGTACGTTAAACGTTGCAGCTGCTTTTCGTTGTGACATCTTTCCTTTTTGTACCGCTTCAAGGGCCGCTTTTAGTTGATTTTCTGTCCACTTCCCCCCACGCTGTTTTTTGTTTTGTGACTCCATTTATACCTATGTAAAAAAAACTTTAGAATTGAATATTATTTATGTAATCTACCTTAATGATAATTTTATAAATTCTTTTGACTTTTGTAAACATTTGATAATTGCATTTAATTAAAAAAAATAAGCATTAGAAAAGCATCAGCCTCATGCCGTCCACTTTAGGTCGTAGGCCTCGTAGAAAATATTTAATGTCAAAATTCTTACCAAACCAGTTAATTTCTAACCAATGTTATATTTAAATTACCAACAATTTAGTATATAAATAATGTCTATAATACTTAAAACACTATTAATTGGAAACAAAACTAATAATATACTTTTAATAGTCTTAAGTAGGCCCGGGCCATGTTTGGTACACATTTAGTGGGCTTTCATAGGAAACATTACCCCAGTTCAATGCAATTGCAATAAAATACTAGAAAAGTTATAAAGCAATAAAACTTACCTTTTATTTGATGGCAAACAAGTTAATTGTGAAGTTTATCACGTTAACACAAAGTTAAACTTCTTATTTTTGATAACCTTTGAAAAAAAACTACTCTTCGGATGTTAGAAAACGTATAGCGCTTTGACACTACTGAGCAAACTTTTTGTCACACTCAAAATGGCGGCGCGCTGACAGTCGGACGTAGTTGCAATTTTGTCTTTGGCTGCCGTCGCATATTACCCGCGAAATTTTAAATGGTTTTGACAACCAAAACTGTTATATTTTAAAAGTGGGCCATAATAGGAGCCGGGCCTTCTTCGGTCACACTACCTTACACTATTTGATTAACCGATGAAGAGCCATCGTATCATAAAGCCATCTATGCAAACAAGGCTGTAGTTTTTGAGTTATAGGAAAATGACCATATTAAGCGGATGACCATATTACCCTCACGCACTATAGTACTAGGTTTAGGAATCATTTCAACTACATTCACAAGAGTTTTGGTATTGAAGCGTAGTAGCGTGTAAGTGTAGGTATTTGAAATTCTCTTTACGTGCTTTTTTTATAGGATAGGGTGACAAACGAGCACGCAGTCCACCTGATGATGGTAAGTGGTTGCTGTGGCTCATAGATATCCACATGTGTCCTCGATTACGAATCAAAATGCTGATGCGTTGTCACCCGTGAGGATTAAGATGGTATACCTTATTTCCAGTAAAAAGATCTCCAGCTCTCTACACTCCCCATACGAAACACAGCAGCATTAAGCTAGTATTTTACGCTGGTATTCTGTGAGAGCATGGTCCTCTGGTCGAGTCGAACCATTCGTGCTACTCGTACTACTAATATAACTTCAGCATAGCTTTAACCCGTATAAAAAGTTTATTTACTCTTTATTTGTATGTTATAAAAATAATGAAAAATGTTAAAAATTATTTTACAAAGAGGCCGGACCATATTTCCCTCAAATTAAAATTCAAATTATAGATAGGTAGGACGTATTTCAATTAATAATGCTCTGACTATAAATTATTGCTAAGTCATATACCTATAGATTATAAGTATAAAATGTACCGATTTAACGTGCTTATCTTTTAAATCTTTTGTATTTGTGGCCAGGTGCCAAATTTAATAAAATGTTAAGTGCGGTAATAACCTATTATTTTGCTTTCTTATACACGAGTACTAAATAATAATATGATCATATATCATTACAGTGAATGGAAAGTTATAACACTTTATAAGTGAAGTTATAACACTTTATAATTAAACTTTTGCAGTAGAATGCCACGTCCAAATATAGTTCGCGTATCCTGCGAACCATTCACATGGGCCGTGCAAGATGCGACGGGCCTCTGCTCCGCCATCCGTCAGGCTGTCGTGCGAACGCCACTACACGGCTCTGCACTTAACTTCACGCCAACCGTACATATGTCTACAGAGGGGACTTCTACTTGTTAATAGTTATGAAGGGTCGCGCCGAGTGGTCATCCCGCAACAGACACCCAATTATGAGCATCATCATGACAGATTGCGACGATTTGAGTCAACTACGAGGTTTATATAGATACAGATATTTATTATTTTCGTTTCTCTTACTTGTTGATTTGTTCATATGATAGATTGACTTCTTTATTGAAAAACGTTAAGTTTTCCGGTACGGTCCGTTTAGCAGTACAGAAAGTGCAACTCGTAACTTGCCGAACGCATAGTTTTTCAAAAAGCCACATTTAAAGTTATAGTCTTTGCTATATGGCCATTAATTTAACGCTACAACGTTGAAGTCCTCCTGGTCGATATTTGACACAGGTGATCACTTCTGATTCTATCAAAACCAATCCGAGTAGCCAGGTAATCTAAACATACACTCTCACTCGTCTGGCATATAGTACGTAAGGGTACTCGTAATATGGTGATCCGGTTAATATGGCCACTTTATTATTACGCAAAAACTACAGCCTTGTTTGCATAGATGGCTTTGTGATACGATAGCTCTTCAAACGTCAATCAAATAATAAAAGGTAATAAGGGTTCTGCTTCATCGAAGTCATTTTTATAGTTGATATTATAGTAAATATTTTAGTCGATTTTAGTATTATGTATGGTAGTTTGTTTTGTTAAATTGATTTTTCGATGTGTTACCAATTATTTCCAAAGCTTGCTTGCTTCTTTTCTTAATATATTGGTTATAGTATACTTTGTGTTTTTGTCTCTCCCTTTCTCCTAGTTTTGGTTTTATACGCGACAAAGCTTAAGTTGGCCATATTACTCTCACATACCTTAGTTCTTTGAAAGAGAAGGTACCAGTCTCTAGAATAATATCGTTGCGAATGACACCGTTGTAGGGTAGTGGGTAACAAGACAGTACGAAGTTCGCCATCAAAGAGTATTTAATTTGTGAATGTGACTAACTCCACTCGCCATTCCGAATTCCGGTCGCGCTAGCAACGGAGGCTTGCCCTCTGCGTAAGACAAGATCATAGCGCAGGAGTGTGTGAATGAACAAAGGTGCACTCTCTGTCCCCCCCCCCCCTGTATAGTTTGGTGAGACGGAAGTCCGACACAATTGAAGAGAGATCAGGCACAGGGCCGAATTTACGTACTTTACAAGACACGGGGAAAGGTCATGAACATTTTGACTGAGATGAGACAGAAAAACTCAATAATTGATTTTTTGGCCAGGTCCCCCCGATCATTCCAAACTTTTAGCCAGGAATCACATGATCAACTACACTACAAGTCAGTTGATTTACGAGTAATAACAACATGATAGTGTTTCAAATAGCCAGTATTCTTCTTAAACTATTAATGTTATTAATTTTTAAAACAATTGTTCTATACTTTAAGAAACGTTTTTCTATTTGCAGACGACCTTAAACTCTCGAGAGTATTATCATCTACCTAATATTTAATCATTGCTTCTGCAAGATGACCTCGACCTTTTTGAAAAATGGTGTAAGGCACATCACTTGATGTCACATCCAAGAAAATGCTTTTAGGTTATCAAATTTACAAAGAAAAAGCACTACTTCATTAGGTCCTCTAGACCGAAATTAGGTCACGGTATCCAATCTCAACGAAAATCAGCCATTTGCGCGAAACATGATTATAGTGCACGATTGCGCGCGCAATCACAGGCATTGTCGCAATTCACTCACTGATATTCCTACTGGGAATTTCTTAAATGGAAAACGCAGTAAGTTACTGATTTTGGCCCAACCTGGGTTTGACTACCTGGACCTCATGACCAACAGTCACGTTTGCGAGCACTAAACTAACGAGACAGTCATTATTAATTATTTATTAAATTATAATACTGTGTCGCCTAAAAGTGTGCACACAATACACATCAGTCCGTAGATTAAACTTATCTACAATAAGAATATAATGTGAGTGCTGATGGTGTCCTATAGATAAATAAATAAATAAATATAGAATACTTACCGCATGCTACGGAGAGCAGTCCGAATCGTTGACGTAAAAGTTCTTTCTGATCGGTTTGATCCACAGACTGCGAAAAAACGTTTCAACTTTTTACAAAAAAGGACTTAGAGACCTTTAAGAAAAGAGGTTTTTTTATACAAAAAGGGATGGTAACTGACTGCCGTCGCCCTTCAACAACTGCAACGCCAGGGGAATTGTAGATGCGTTGCCTGGCTAAACGCCACTTTTCTTGAAGATCTCCAAGTCGTATCGGTCCGGAAAAATTGTAAGCAGTAGTCGATTCCACAAGGAAATAGTGCGAGGAAGAAAACTTCTAGTAAATCGCAGTGGTAGACCATCAATCTACAAATCACCGATCATCCAGATAGTAAGGATGTTATTGCGATTTTTGTCGCTTTTGTGTAATTGAACTTGGTTGTCGACGATTCTAACCGCCCTGCACTGGATGCGATCAAGTGGAAGGAGCTGGCACTGACCTACAGATTAAAACAATATTCCATGTGATGTCGAGCTTGCGCCATGTAAAGTTGCAAACATTGTGCCGGCATGAAATACTGTCTTGCTCTACAAAGCACGTCAAGCTTTTTAGAGGCCAATTTGGCCTTCCCTTTCAAGTGACAGCGGAACTGAGTCATTCGACATGTCGACGATTATAGTTCCTAGCCAACGAGGGAAGAGCCCTGAAATTGGAGAGATACGAAAAAAGAGTTCTTTTAAGCGATAAATGCAAAAACTTGTGACTGGTGAAGCAGCTCGCATGAGCTAGCAGTTAATAATGAATTGAGCCTACTATCTCTAAGTCCGTCTACGCGATTCGGACTAGCTCACATTCTGCAGGGCAGGAACGCGTACTCTGGTTTCCACGAACAATCCAGATATAAGTACTGTAGAATTTAGGCACTTCCATCAACATTTAATTGAGAGTATCGTTTCATCTTTTAGCTTAGTGGAGCCCACTACTCGTGTGAAACGAATAGGAAAACATATAACCTCTACTAGTTTCTTCTGAGCAACAAGCAAACCTGCGGGCAAGCATGTTCGCTCTCACGTACAACGCTTTAAGTTTGCGGTCAATGTCGGAGACTGACCGCGAACTGGGTCCCAATTACAATAATTAAAAAACGAA